TCAACATGAAGAAAAAAAAAAATGCGGTCGAAGGCACCTCCCCTCTTCCCCCCCCCCCCTCTCCTCTTATCTCTTACAACGCCTATATGTAGAAACCTTATTGATACATGTAACAATGAATCCACCCCCCTCCAACACTAAAACTGGATGCTGATACCGCCGTTGACTGTCGCACCCTTCGGGTCCACCGGGCCGGCACAGTCGAATACAGACATCGGGTCTGATATGGGGGCGAGAGATGAGCAGATCGCCGCCACACGAGCAGGACCATACAGAACTTGTTCCACTGCCTGAAAACCAGGGCGAGCTCTTTTCGAAACTGTTTTTATATGACATCTGAAACAACAAGAGATACATCATGACAATCGGGATGCGTTTTTTAGCTCAAATTCTCGCTCAAACATTTGATGCCGTCACTTCTTCAGTAAGAAACAAATTGGATTGATTGGCACAAACGCTTCATTATAGGATGGCAGATTATTGTAAATTTTAAAAAATGAATCGAATTGTACTGGACAATCTTAAGTCAGCACAGTCATTTTAAGCACGTGCTAATAATATCCCGAGTGATCTTAGACTCAGGTAAAGATAAAAAAAACATACTCGCGGCCCACCTCTAGTTTAGTGTATAGGGTCACACAATCAATTTATAACTTAATCAATATATAATATAAAAAATACATAACATAATAAATATACAATTTAATCAAGATATAACATAATCAATATATAACATAAGCAATATGTGAAAAAACAATTTATATCACAATCATTATATAACACAATTAATATATAACATAATAAATATGTAAAAATAATCAATATTTAACTATATATATATATATATATATATATATATATATATATATATATATATATATATATATATATATATATATATATATATATATATATATGTATATATTTTAAATCACAACATCTGATGTTTAAAAGTGCAAATCCTAGTAGGATTGGGGTTATTTTTATAGAAATATCTGAGGCTCAGAAATGTAAATCCCTAAGTGATTAAGGATAAACTTTTATCACAATAGCTGATCTTTAAAAATTTAAATACTCGTTGGATTGGAAGAGAACAATAATTATGTTTTTGGTAAAGCCTTTTGTTGATATTTTAAGCATGTATTTTATCAAGATTTCATGACAACAAGATTTATACGCATGAGGCGCTAAAACAAAGGACAGATTGGTTGTCGATTCAAGCTATAGGAGGTTTCACTCTGTTACACTTATGGATCTGAATTTCCCCATCCCTATTCAAGGGTGGAACGAGAGTCACTGACTGAAAACATGTGATAGGAACGGCAATGAAATGATTAGGACATCTCCAGATTGTACCGGTACCAAAAGTGTGAACATATTTTGAAGGCTTTTGACTGTCAGGAGGTGCCGGAAGGCAGTGTTAGGATGTATGGGAGGCAGTGTCAGTGGGAGCGGAAGGCAGTGTTAATGGTTGCAGGAAGGAGTGATAGGGAGTGCGGTAGGGAGGGTCAGGTGATCTGGGAGGCAGTGGATGAGGGAATATCAAGGATATCACGTTTCTTTGCATTTATCATGGAGCGGTGCGGGAGATCTGTTGTTTTTGTTTTTTTTTATTACATTGAGGTGCTGTACATGTTTTGAAATCAATATGGGATACACTTTTTTTTTCTTTTTAAATCTTGATACTTTGTGGTAAATATGTTTTTTAAAAAATATATCTAAGAGGGTTGTTGGTAATAGGTATTTTAAAAATCTAGATTGGGTGCGGATAATATTATGAAAAAAAAAAACAATTGTTAAATTGAAGTGCAGGAATTGTTGTGGCGCTGCAAACAGATTCAGAAACTCTGGTATATATGAAAGGTATGGTATAAAAAATTACTTAACTGCATTTGGATTTTTTAAAGACAAATCATTAAAAAAAAATTATTCTTTCGTGGTAAAATTGTCATTTTTATATTTTTAACGATTGTTTTACCCTCTCAACGTCAGAGGAATTTCAATTTACTGTTTTAAGCAACATGTCTTTAACAGTTTGAAAGAAAAGAACAACAAATGTTGATCAAGTTTAATGAATTAAACTATAACTCAAGAATAAGTCAAGGAAGATTTCTAGAAATCAGAGATAAAATTTATTGTTATCATACATTTCATATTACAAGTTTAGACTTGGCATTATGTTGGCTGAATAACTATTAATAACAAAAAAAAACAAACAAAGAAAAAAAAAACAATCGACAATTTTCGGGTTGATCTTTTAAAGTAGCTTAATTAGACAGTGTCAACAAATTGAATTTATCGATTATATTTTTTAAGGCAGTTTTAGACATGTACCACATCAGATGAAAAGTCATTAACCAAAGTTTATTATTTTAAAATATGCACTCATTTTTTTATTTTTGTTCAAAACATGTCTGTTTTAAAATGATGCGTATATTTGTCAAAATCAGTTTGATTGGTTTATTTAATTTCGTGTATTCAGCTCCAGGAAAAGGTGTTTGGATTAATTGTGTAAAGACATTAGTTTAACTAAGGTTATTGTGGGCGAAGATTTTTTACTGCTTCCTTCCATAAAAAGTAATTCCTAAATTGGCCGAAAACAGGCCCGTCAACATGAAGAAGAAAAAAAATGCGGTCGAAGGCAGATCGACTCTTCCCCCCCCCCCTCT